CCTCTTCTCCCAACAAACTGCAGTTTTAAGGGGGAGTAGGGCTCACCTGGGACTGGAACCACCACCCTCTCGAACTCTACGAAAAATTTGTGCACCTGGAGCGACCAACGAGTCCGACGCACTCTTTCTTATTCTAAATAACGTCCTCCTGCTCCCCGGAGTCGTCTCCTTTAAAGCCGCAGTTGGCAGCGGGGGATCCCATTTCCACCGGTGAGGGATCCAGCTTGGTCCGGCTGCATCCCGGGACCCCGGGAGATCCCCACTGAGGCTCTGCCAGCAGCAGCCTCCCTCCTCCGCCTTCCTAGTCTCCCGTCCTTGCTGAAGATACAAAAAGGGAAAAAAGAGAAGGCAAAGAGGGTTCGTCCGGGATTTGAACCCAGGACCTCACGCACCCAAAGCGAGAATCACACCTCTAGACCAACGAGCAGGCGATTTCTCGCTTTTTTTTTTTTTATTTTTTTTTTTTTTTTTCACGTGTCCTTCTGCCACCGACGCAAATCGAGACTTTCTCCATCGCCCCAGTAGCTCAATCCTTAGTGCGTACACCTGGGAATCTGAACTTCTGGGTTCGTGGCCACCCTCAGATGTCCAAGGCAGACTTTATTTCTGCTAGATAAACCAACAAGGTTATCCGCTGAGGTTATGAGTTGGTGGTTTAAATATCGTGCTGATATGATATACAGGTGCATTTACCTGTTACTAAGGTAAAACGGTTTCCAGGCAGGATAGTAATATCAGAAATCACAAAGGAAATGTACAGATTTTACCCAAGTTTTTAAAACGGCAAATGACAATCCAAACAAAATGCAATCTAAATGACAAACCAAGGGCGTGTTACTGGGCCACATAGATCTCAAGTCCTTTAAAAATACATAGGCATATTTTAAACAGACATTTATGAAAAGAAAAGAAATGAAGATCTATGACAGAAACGGCTTCATCTTCCTTATCTGGGCCTATGGAGCATAAACGCTGCTTGTCACAGCCTCTCTGGCAGGCAAGTGTGGTCCTGGCCTGCTCCTAATGGCCATAGGTGGAAAACAACTGAGTCTTGACGTGGAGGCTGGAGAAGAAGAGATTGTCCTAGAGCTTGCATGGGAAGAGTTTCGGGACCCAGAAACTGGAAACATTGGATCTCTGTGACTAAGTTTGCCAAGCAGAAGTACATGGTGGAATGGGTGTGTCTGGAGGCTGGTACGAGGCATAACAGGCAGCCGGGCCTGCTGCTTCAGTGACTTTCTTGAGACTCAAAGGAAGCCAGGGGGAACCCTGCCTAATCAGCTGCAGGCATCTCTCCCAGGGTCCTCCTTTCTATGTATTGGCTGCTCTGGGGATCATGTAAAGGTGAAGGAGGCTGGGTGTGGTGGCTCCCGCTTGTAATCCCAGCACTTTGGGAGGCCAAGGCGGGTGGATCACTTGAAGCCAGGCGTTGGAAACCAGCCTGGTCAACATGCGAGACCGCATCTCTACTAAAAATACAAAAATTAGCCAGGCGTGGTGGCGTGTGCCTGTAATTCCAGCTACTCGGGAGGCTGAGGCAGAAGAGTCGCTGGAACCCGGAGGCAAAGGTTGCGGCCAGCCGAGATCGGGTCATTGCGCTCCCGCCTGGGCAACAAGAGTGAAACTCCGTCTCAAATAAATAAATAAATAAAGCCCAGTAATACACCCTGGGTTTGTCATTTAGATTGTGTTTTGTTTGAATTGTCATTTGCCGTTTTAAAATCTTGGGTAAAAGCTATACATTTCCTTTGTGATTTCTGACATCGCTATAGGTAAGTGCACCTGTATTTCATAACAGCACGACATTTAAACCACCAGCTCATAACCTCAGCGGATAATCTTGTTGGTTTATCCAGCAGAAATAAAGTCTGCTTTGGAAATCTGAGGGTGGCCGTGAACCCTTAAATCCAGATTCGCAGGTGGGCGCTCTAAGGACTGAGCTATTGGGGCGATGGAATCTGGTTCTGCGTCAGGGACGAAAGGACAAGTGAAAAAAAGGAAACACAGTATAGCACCGGCTCGTTGGTCTAGGGGTATGATTCTCGCTTTGGGTGCGAGAGGTCCCGGGTTCAAATCCCGGACGAGCCCTTTTGTCTTTCTTTCCACCCTTTTTGTATTTTCAGCCGGACAGGAGACTAGGTAGGCGGAGAGAGACTGCTTCTGGCAGATCCTCAGTGGAGACCTCCCGGGGTCCCGGGACGCAGACGGACGTGCCTGAATTAGTCGCCCGCAGTCGGTCGCGTCATCCTGAAATGGGATCCAGAGCTGCCAACTGCGGCAACAAAAAATAAAAGGAGACGACTCCAGGCAGCAGGGGGAGGTTATTTAGAACAAGGAAGAAAGTGCTGGGCTCATTGGTAGCTCCAGGTGCAAAATTTTTCGTAGGATTCGAGAGCATGGCGGCTCCAGTCCCAGGTGAGCCATACTCCCGCTTAAAATGGGAGGAATATGCGTGGCGGGGGCGGGACGGAGGGGAGTCGGGGAGAGATGAAGGAGGGGCGAAGGCCTGGGCATCCGCCCGCAGCACTTCAGTGGGCCCTGGCTGGTGGGTGTCTCGGACCCCGTCTCTACCCAGGCCCCGGGGCCTTCCCACTGAGAGCCAGGAAATTCGCGGCTTGGGTTATGGAGGGGAGGAGGAGGCCCTTTCAGCCCAGATCTGCCGGATTCTCGGGCGTCGGGTGAAACTCGGACACAGAGACTGGCAGAGAGACAGTAAAGGGTGTCCCGGAACCGCCGCCTGGACGCAGCCTCTGCTGCCCCAAGGGCCGCCTCTTTCGTCCTCCCCACGTCCTGGGGAACAGAGGTCCTGCCAGTTCTCAGTGAAGGGGAAGGAGGGGCGCCGCGGGTCTGGTGGAGCAAAGCGACTCTGAGCATCAGCCTCTTGAATTGAGTTCCACGTGGGAAGCTCGCTTCTTGGGTTTTGGCTTCTCTAGGGCAGAAGGGAGGACCGGGGCGGGAGAAGCCTGGGGCGCGGCGAGATAGGGGGCCTGGTTCCTGGTGCACTCGGGAGGCCTTTGCTGACCACCCATCGCGGCCACGCCGCGGGGCTGCAGCGTTTCCAAGGTGGGCATCCAGTGGTCGTGGTTCGCGGACCCTCAGGGCAGCTGCTGCCCACTCTTGAGAGGTACCCATGTCCCTCCGGACATCCGAGTGGCGGAGGAGACGAGGACCCAGGGCGACTCCGGATTGTGGGGGCGCAGGGAATGCTCCCCATTTTGTGCGGCGCGGGGAGAAGCGGGGACTCACGGCTCCCTCCGCGCACCCTTGAACTTGCGTCTTCCAGGGTACAGGTTGGGAGAACTATCTTCTCCTTGCTTTGCTCTGCTGAGGCCCGGCCTGCTGCCCCCGAGGACACCCCGAGGGCCACAAAGAGAAGCCGGAGGGAACAAGTTGTGTGGCTCGTTGGTCTAGGGGTATGATTCTCGCTTAGGGTGCGAGAGGTCCCGGGTTCAAATCCCGGACGAGCCCAGGTTTTCGTCCAAAATATCGGTTCCTATCATTCCGTATTTTAGATGAGGATCGGAGATCCAAACATCCAAACAGCTCTGACACGTCAGCGCAGTCCCAGTCCTTCGGAGTTAATATGTACAAAGGTCTCAAGCTGTCTGACACCACCCACTGCCACATTTAAAATTTATTTGGAGCTGTCGCCTGACAAGCTATTTTTGTTTGTTTTCTGCTTTATTATTATTTTTTTATAGTGTGTGACGCCACTTTTGTCAGTAGGAACTCACTTGAGGCACTGAAGAAGAGAGAAGTTCTCCCTATATACAATAAGAGCAGAATCTTCACAGTCAGCGCCTTAAAAGGTCTAGCCTGGGACTCCCACCCACTGTCCCTGGCTCTGCTGGCTAGAGACTTAGTGAGAAGGAGCCAGGCACTTGAGCAGAGGAGATGGGCTATAGACGTTTGTAACTGGGGTCCAGAGGCCTCCCCCTCCCCACATCCCCAACACTGGTCACCTGGGTGTAGCCCCCCGGGGCTCCTCTGCTCCCCTGTCCTAGTTCTGGAAGGAGTGCAGACCAAACCCAGCAGCCCGGGTACCAGGATCCTGAGTCCCAGCACCCTCCAGGACTGGGGCCTCCTGGGGTCTACTCTGAGGACAGATTCTACTGGCAGGGTCTTCCTTTTTGTTTGAGATGCTGGGTTTGAAAACGTCATATGAATCAAGAATCGTGAATAATCTGATTTTGAGCACTTGAGAACCAATTGGAAAGGCTCAAACAGAAGATTTAAAGTGATCGATGTCTGGTTATGCCCTTGGGCCCCTGCAGAAGCAAACAATAATTGTGTGTGTGTGTGTGTGTGTGTGTACAAATACATTTGTATTCCAGATCTCACAGAATTTCTTACACAAAGAAATTTACGAGGAAAATGAACACTGCAGCCTAAAAATTAACAAGGAAGGCCAGGCGCGGTGGCTCACGCCTGTAATCCAAGCACTTTGGAGGCAAAGGCAGGCGGATTACCTGAGGTCGGGAGTTCAAGACCAGCCTGACCAACATGGTGAAACCCCATCTTTAAAAGAAAAAGAAAAAGAATTAACAAGGAAACAAGGCACCATGAGCAACAGCTCATTACCAGTAGGCAACAGAGATAAAATTGCAAACATTTCAGATGCAAAGTATATCAGATACTTTATAATACAACTATGCCCAAAAAAAGGTTGTCATTGACTCTTTAAATGGGTGCAGTCTGGAGACCTTTTTCTCTTTCCGATAAGAGGGGCGTTTCATCGGAGGGTACAGGTTGGGAGAGCTCAGATTTATGCCAGCGCTGTGTCGAAGGAGACTTTGGCGGGTCACCCCCATTTATAGGAAACTTCGGGGTGGTGAGGGAATTCTGGCATCACGGAGGGCATTGGTGGAGAACTGGGCCTGTTGTGGGGAACCCCCAGTACACCCTGGTTTCTGGGACTGATTCATTACCTTGCTTAGTTTCTTCTACCATCCTTAGGCTACCCAGCCCATTCTCAGATATAGAAAGCTACCTGCAGGCAAGCCTGGCTAGCTCAGTCAGTAGAGCATGAGACTTTTAATCTCAGGGTTGTGGGTTCAAGCCCCATGTTGGGCATACCTTTTGATTCTGTCTCTCCCAGAATCTACCCTTTACCTATAGAGGTAGATCGTCTCCCTGCTGTTGCCCAACAGATGCAGACTTGTTAATACTTTTTTTTTTTTTTTTTTTGAAATGGAGTCTCACTCTGTGGCCCAGGCTAGAGTGTAGTGGTGCCATCTCGGCTCACTGCAACCTCTGCCACCCAGGTTCAAGCGATTCTCCTGTCTCAGCCTCCCGAGTAGCTGGGATTACAGGCGCCTGCCACCGTGCCCGGCTAATTTTTGTATTTTTAGTAGAGATGGGGTTTCACCATTTTGGCCAGGCTGGTCTTGAACTCCTGACCTCCTGATCCAGTTTAATGAGTTGACCTGTGACCGTCCACCAACCATATGTTGCAGTCCTAACTCTCAGTCCCTCAGAATGTGACTGAAAGTGACTGAACAATGAAGACAAAATGAGGTTATCAGGATGGGCCTTAATCCAATATGGCTGGAGTCCTTACAAGAAGAGGAAATTTGGATTGCATGTGGTGCCACGCCTGTGTAATCCCAGCACTTTGGGAAGGCAAGGCAGGAGGACCTCGGGAGCCCAGATTTAAAAGAGGAAAAAGAAAAGAAGAAGAAGAAAAAAAGAGTGGGGGGCGGAGGAGAAAGGCCTGGTTCTGCCTCTCCCTGCTTAAGCCACATTTCCCCAAATGAATCCCAAATGTGGTGAGAAAGAATGTGTCCCCCCAAAAAAAGTCAAGCTCCAGAACAGAGGACACTCCCCCTCAAGCAATGAGGCAGTTGGGAAGTTTTCTCGGAATCTCTCCAAACAGGATCTTTATTGTTTAAAAGGCCTGAACTATGTGAAGGAATTTCCTTCGAAACAGAGGCTCTGCCCAACATGGGGCTCAAACCCCAACCCTAAGGTTAAGAGTCTCATGCTCTACCAACCGAGCTAGCTGGGCAAGTAGTGGTAGACAAAGCTCTTCTTCCGTGGATCTGAGGCCTTAGGCTGCTCCTATCAGGCCTTCTCCAATTTCCAACATCCCCTATGTCAATAAGGACTCCGGATTCTGGGGTAAGCCTCCTAGAACGGCCAAAGCTCTAGAGTTGTGACCTGGGGAAATGGAAGGTGGGAGTGGGGCTTGAATCCCAGGACTGTGGGCGACTCACCCGAGCCACAGTAGCCAAGGAAACACGTCTCCTTCTCTGCCACTTTGAACAGGCCTTGGGGCTACCTGCTTGCTGGGGCAGGTTGGGGTCTGGGGTTGCTGAGTCACGCTGCCTGTTTCTTGGTTAGCAAGGCCTGGGTCTGACCCCAAGGACACCGTCATGGAACAAAAGCAGGAGCTAGGGTTACAGCGCTCATGATCCCTGATCTTTCCTGGGGCACTTTGGAGGCAGGAGCAGAGCTAAGGAAGTCCCACCTGCCTTAGAGCAACCTGGGACACGGTCCTGGCAGATGTTCCTCTCTGGGCCCAAATGCTGGGAAGAGAAATGCTGAGAAGCGGACACATCTGAGCATGGTGGCTCACACCCGTAATCCCAGCCACTTTGGGAGGCCAAGGTGGGCAGATTGCTTGAGTCCAGGAGTCCAAGACCAGTCTGGGCAACATAGCAAGACCTTGTTTTTATGAAAAATTTTTAAACATTAGCCAGGCGTGGTAGCGTGGTGGCTCATGCCTTTAATCCTAGCATTTTGGGAGGTCTAGGCAGGCAGGTCACTTGAAGTCAGGAGTTCAAGACCAGTCTGGCCAACATGGCAAAACCTTATTTCTACCAAAAAAAACAAAAATTAGGGCTGGGGGCGATGGCTCATGCCTGTAATCCCACCACTTTGTGGGACGAGGCGGGTGGATCAGGAGGTCAGGAGCTCAAGACCAGCCTGGCCAATATGGTGAAACTCCATCTCTACTAAAAATACAAAAGTTAGCTGAGTGTGGTGGTGCGTGACTGTAATCCCAGCTACTTGGGAGGCTGAGGGCTGAGGCAGAAGAATCACTTGAACCCAGGAGGCCGGTTCAAGTGAGCCAAGATGGCGCCACTGCAGTATGTTTTTCACATATGTGTGTGTGTGTGTATTTCTCAATCCAATACTGTAGATGCGAACTCTAATTTCCATCTGTAATGAGAGAACATCTTCTTTTTTCGGTATCAAGTCTTCAAAAATCCCTATGTGTATTTTGCACTAACAGAAGCACATCTCAACGGTACCAGCCCTATTTCAAGTGCTTACGAGCCATATATGGCTCCTGTCTACCTTCCTGGCCAGTGCAGCCCAGGGCCATCGAGTCACTCAGCTTTTACCTGCTCTCAATGACCTTCTGCGACTCGGCCTTGGCCTGCAGAGAGGTGGGTTTCTAGGGCAAAGAGGGGAGGTAGAGGAAAAAATAGCTCTCAATGGCCCAGAACCCAAGGACCAGCCTCCCCGTACCTGGAGCCCATGTGCAGCTGAGCGACCCGGGCTGCAGTGGGTGCAGCTTCTCTGGTCTGGGGCTGGGAAGGAGGAGAAGGGCCCGGGGCTCGAGCAAGGCTGAGGCACCTGCCAAGCCGGCCAGCCTCAGATGCATCCTGGTCCCTTGCAGCTGAGGCACAGTCCTGGACCCACCTGAAGTGGAACAACCCGGCTGGTGGATGAGGCTTCAGGCTGGGTCCTAATTCTCAAACTCTATATTCTCTAAAATGACTGGGAAAAGTAGCCACTTTGGGGCTCGTCCGGGATTTGAACCCGGGACCTCTCGCACCCGAGGCGAGAATCATACCCCTAGACCAACGAGCCTCCCTTGTGTGTTTTTCCACTGACATTTCAGACACCGTGTCTCCATTCTGGCGCGACTCAGCTGATTCTGAAGTGGGTTGAGCTCATCCTTGTACCCAAGTGATTGGCAGAACTCTGGGGTCGCTGCGGGGAGACCCTGCTGAGCCAGCCCGATGGAGACAGAGCCCATCCACTCTGGGCTTGTAGGGTGATGCTCAGGGTCAGGTCTGATGCTCAGGGTCAGGCCTGCAGCCTGGGACTCCCCGCTGTATTTTTCCCTGCCCCGGGATTACCGGGTCTGCGCTCACACCTGGGGCAGCTGACTCATCCCCAAGACCTTGCCCTAGGAGGGCGGCTGAGCAGCCAGCCCACCTTGCAGCTCACTGCAGGCGGTGGCTGGCTCCATCCCACAGGCGTCCCGTGCCCTCCCTTAGATGGAGCCCAGCGTCTAGACGTTAGCTCTGCCCCGGTCTCTGCCTCTGACAGCAAGAGTTGAGGAAGTTCCAGGAGGTGACCCGGGATAGCAGTGATGGCAAAGGGCGTGACAGTGACTTTCTCTCTCCTGATTGTGATACCCTCTCTCTCCGTCTCTGTTTCTCACTCTCTCTCCAGGCGCTGGTGGCTTTGCCGTTATGATTAGGGTGAGAGTGGGCCTTAGGTTCAAATCCTGATGGGGCAATATCGCAACACCTTCTGGATTCTTCTTTAAGGACGTGAGCAGGTTGGAAAAGCCGGTGGACACGGCCTGGGTGTGGAGAGGACCCAGCGAGCTCTGCGTGTGGTGTGAGAGGGTCCTGCCCATCCCCACAGTTCACCCACCCTATTCTGCCCTAAGTCAACCTCACCCCAGACAGAAGCGCTGTCCCACGCCGGGGACTCCCTCCTCCCCTCTGGGTGGGCTTCTCCTTACTGCTATCCCGGGCTCCTGGCCACACTCCCAGCGCTGGCATCGACGTTTATGGACAGAGCAGAGAATGGAAAGTCCTGGGTTCCAGAAAGATAAAGATAAAGAGGGTGAGGAAGCAAAGGTGGTGCTTCCCGCCACCGAGGCCTGTGGTCTAGAGGTATGGTTCTTGCTTTGGGTGTGAGAGGCGCGGGGTCCCAGTCGCAGAGGAGCCCCGGCAGCCCGCCGTGATCAGCTGCTGTTTATGTTAGCCTGGGAAATCCAGCGCGAGAGAATGGAGCGAATGAAAGAATCTTTCGCAGGAAAAGCCGGCTCTGCTTCCCTCTCCCACCTTCTCCGGCTCCTCAGACTGCAGCAGGCGACCCCCCCAGGCGCGGCCTTGGGCCTGGGGCCCGGGTTCAGGAACCCGGGAATCAGCTCCACTGCCCCCTCCTGTATGCAGGACTGAGTATCTTGGACAGCGCGCGACCGGCTGTTTTTCTTGCTTTAGGGAAGGACTGCAGGTGGAGGTGCTTGACTGAGGGTGAGAGTGGGTGAAGATGGTGTCCAGGGGCCCGCGTGGCCCCAGCCAACTGTCTCAGCGTCCCTCGCATGTTGGCCCAGAGAAGTAAGCGCCTTCCCCGGCAGGAGCTTCCGCACTGAGCTAGGGCAGGCGGGCAGCCCAGACTGCGCAGATGGAGCCCGAGCACCTGGTCACCCCGCCTCCCAGATCCCCGAGCGCCAATACGCTCAGAGGCCCAATTTTCTTCCTTTTTCGACCCCCTTTCCTCCCTGTGATCTGAGCCTAGAACAATTCTCAAGTTCACACCTCTTTTCCAAAGTAAAAGACCGAGCCCCTATTTTAATTTTTAAAAAGAATAACTTAGGTTGGGCGGGTGGCTCATGCCTGTAATTCCAGCACTTTGGGAGGCCTAAGCACTTGAGGTCAGGAGTTCAAGACCAGCCTGGCCAACATGGTGAAACCCTGTCTCCACTAAAAACACAAAAATTAGCTGGACCTTGTAGCACGCACATGCAATCGCAGCTACTAGGTAGGCTGAGGCCGGGGAATCTTTTGAACCCGGGAGGCTGGGGTTGCAGTGAGCCAAGATTCTGCCACTGCACTCCAAGCTGGGTGACAGGAGCGAGACTTCTTCTCAAAAAGAAAATTAGCCGGGCGCGGTGGCTCAAGCCTGTAATCCCAGCACTTTGGGAGGCCGAGGCGGGTGGATCACGAGGTCAAGAGATCGAGACCATCCTGGTCAACATGGTGAAACCCCGTCTCTACTAAGAATACAAAACATTAGCTGGGCATGGTGGTGCGTGCCTGTAATCCCAGCTACTCAGGAGGCTGAGGCAGGAGAATTGCCTGAACCCAGGAGGCGGAGGT